ACTGAGCAAGTGCAATGGCCTCCAGCAGGTGACATGAGCACAGGGAATTTCTGAGATGCAGGATAGAAGTGCACTTGTGTCTGGCAACAGGAAGATAACATTGAATGAACCATTTCTGTTTGCATAACTCCTCACAAAGAGCCAATTTCCTACATCTGCTGAGCTGCATTCCTCACAGCTGCAAACTCCATAGGATAACACAGCCCTACAAACACCGATATAAAAAGATTAACCTAAAGCTCTGGTATATGGCAAATCTAAAAGGTGGGACTAGAGATGCTTAATTGATGAAGTAGAGATACGAAAGTTTCATGAAAGAGTTTATGAAAATTTCAACCTTAAGCCATAAGAAACCAACCCAAAACATCTGGATTTCAGCACCTGGGACCTTCCTCCTTAAGAAACAGCTAAGTTACGGATCCCACCAATATCCAGAAATAGAGGGACAAAGAGAACATTATCATGGTAAAGGACATCCAAGTCAGATCAGGACTGTGATCTGTTGAGCAAATTAAGGCAGGCCTTTTCTCAGCAGTGACAAGGCTGTACTCACTTGATGGATACTGCTGTGGAAGGAATGGGGCTACTGTCACCCTCAGCAAGTGGAGAGAACTGAAGCCACCTGATGCTACCTTCACATTTTCACCTTAACTATTTTTTTTCTTTTTTACTCTCTCCTCCCACACCATCTCCAGCCAACAATGGTACTTCTAAGCAGATCAGATGTCTCATACTTTATCAATTTATACCATACAAAGAGCTGAGAACTACCTTCCCTCAGAGTGCTGGAAAACTAACCTGACAAAGCAGTGTATTTTGAAACCCAGGTTTAGAAAAAGGGCTGGTTTCTGGGTCAATGAGCAGTGAAAATGCACTGAGATCACTATGTGGCACGAGGACCCCAGATTGCAGCATGGGCTTAGCATGTCTTCAGAAAAAGTAATTTTAGAGACATCTAGTGCATCAGTTTTTCCCCAGGACTTTTATTCTTTGCATGAAGGCAATATGTGACGACATTTTACAAATGTCTGGACAGCAATGACTCTAAGAAATGAACTCAAAAGTATGCGAGATAAGATGTATTTCAAACTAAATATACAGTGAAAGAGTTTTCTGCAGTAGTTACCATTAGTTAATTTAATGGAAATTTTAAATAAAAATATCTTTCAACATGAAGATATGAAAAGTTCATTTATTTCCATAGGCAACCTAACTCGGAGTACAAAATGATGTGAACTTCTCAAAACTGCCACCGCATCTTTTACATATTTTTAAAGTAACTGATCTAAAAGTTGATACAAGAATAAATTTGTTTTGGAAGAGCTGTCCAGTAAACGGATATACACTAATGCCATGCTATGACAGTTCTATTTATGAATCACAGCCGACACTACAGTAACATCACTTTATAAATCTCATGAGAACTTTAATATTTTACAATCAAAACATAAAACTGCCACTCATACAGAGATTGTACAATTAGACAAATAAACAAATATTAAATATTTTGCACATGGCCTGAGTTCACTGTAACATATTTTGATTTACAATTTCATCTCAGAAATCTGTACAGCAGTTAGAACTGTTTCAGAGAACTTAAAGACAATACAACTTCAGAGCTTATTTGTCCTATTGATACAAGTGTGAGGCCTGGAAGGCAAGAGGATTTGGTGTATGAATCCAAGGTTTTACTGCCTTGTGTAACCTCCTTGCAAAGCAGTCAAAACCTAATGGAAAGTAAGGTACAAGGCAGGACCTCACTTGAAAATAAGCTAACTCATCTGAAATTCTCCAGATAGGTTTCCTCACAGCTATTTCAGAGTAAAAGTTCACAATGAGTATATAAAATGCAGCATATCTCTTAACAAAGAACAAAAAAGGGGTCACATATACAACAAGGTACTTTTTCTGTATTCTCCCTCCCTATATTTCTTTCATTGGAAATGGCACAAATCAGCATCCCCACCCATCCCCAATAGAAAACTCCTAATCAATAAACAAAGGTCACTCTAAAGTCCAAAAACTTCATTGCAATGCAAGATCCAGTGTTCATAAACTTACGTTTTAAAAACTTTCTTTTTATGTTTGTCACATAGACACAGGCAGATTAAGCACGTACATTTATAATGGATAACACAAGTATCATATAATTCTTAACCTGTATGGAAGCTTTATGCAATTTGATTAAAATCTAACTTCTCATTTAATTTTTGGGTTTTTTTGGTGCAGTTGAGCTGAAAAATCTAAAATCATATAATCTATACACACACTTGTCTATCTACAGACACCAATAACATTACAACAGGGGTTATAATACAAAAGTTAACATGTTTTTCTTACTTTAAAAGGCCATCAGGGTATTTATTAAGGTTCCACATAAATGTGAAACAGTTGTTGCTAAAAAGACAAAACTTAACAGAAAAGTTTTAAAGAATAAGGCTTGAAATGTTGTGTACATACACATCCAAAAATCCAGCCTTCTACTCAGCACCTGTGTAAGTGTTCAACTTTTGTTGAACTCTTAAGTAAGTGGACTCTTTTACCTTTCAAAAGACTCTGGTACTGCTGTCTTCCTGCATGAGCAGGTTCCATGGGCTGTTCTGTGCCTTATTCACACCACCTGCATGATGAAAAGGAACAGAAAATCTGCTCCCTCCTCCATCCTTGAAATGACACCTCCTGAAAGAGTCAGAACTAGGGGCTTATAAACTAATCTGTAACTCAGTAGTTTTAACGTTCCCCTCCTCCCAAGCAGAGGTTTTTCAAGCCCCTTTAATACAATCTTTCCCTCTAGTAGAATAGTTTGCTTTCTGAGTTTTCAGAGGGTACTTCAGAGACTTTCATACTTAAAACCAAATGGAACCAACAGTTCTAATATGGCAAACACTGCTGTCTTTGTGCAGTCATGTTCATTTAGCATACATCAGAGCAGCTAAAGCACAACTGATGCACATATGTAAGATGTGCAGTTGTTTTCACTTCTTTTCTCCTTTTGCAGTGAATATAATATAGATAAATCAATCAAAGAATAGGAACTTACTCCCTTCTATTTACCTCCCCTTTAAAATTAATGTAAAGTAAACTATCTGGGCTGGGCACTTCAGCCCAGACTCTGCTCTAATTTCCACAGTAAAATAAAGACATGCTCACAACCTGCTGGGCTTCCACATTTTTTCCTTTAAATTAGGTTGACTAAAAAGGGCAGAAACTTAGTGTACTTTACAGTCTTGTTCAAGGTATTGTAAAAAAGAACTTATTTTTTATCAGGTTACTATTTCAGTAACAGCATTTGTAATTTCTTAATCAGATACCTATTTCAAACCTGTGTTCTCCATTTTATTTTACATTAGGGCTAGGCAGACCCTCTGCTTCCAGCCAAGCTAGATTAACACTGCTTTCCGTCCAAGTCCAGACACAGAAGGCTCCTGGAATATCCACACTCTTTCCCAAGCAACAACTTGGATGTGAAGAATAACTGCTGCTCTCAAACAACGGTATTCCCTCTGGACACAATATGAGTCTTCCAGCCTCTTGCAGGGCCTCAGGACAATCACTTGCAAGTGGAGAGATTAACCGGACAAGGCTTCCTAAAAACTACTGTAGCAGTGCAGTACTGCTACTACTACACGGCCGCAGTGACTTACCTCTTGCAAGTCCTCTTTGCTTTAAGTAAAGAAGAAATAATTAAAGAACCTCACATACACACAGTTTCCTGACACACTGAGCAGGAAGCATCTACATGAGACAGGGATTTGACTCTCTCATTTTAACTAGTTACCTTTTATTTTTAAGTAATTGGAAGATTTTGTTATGACTTTCATAAAGCAACCTTTTCAGTTTTCTTTGTTGTTGTTACTCTGTTTTGCTCATTCTGAATATTGCAGCAAGCAAGAAATCAAAATTATGTTTCAAACATAAATGGAAAAAAATCCTATTGCTTGAGACAAATAAAAACCTTATTCCATTGTACTACCACTTCATACAAGAGCCTCTTTGAACTTGTAGGATTTTTCTGACTTTATTCTTACAAAATAGATTATGTTCTTGTGTAGCCCACGCCAAAAGCACATACCCCAAGCCCACAGTTTAGGAGGTCTACTATATGAAATCTTAACAAATATTTTCAGTTAATATCCCCTCAAAAAAGTTAAATTAAAATCCAGTTCTGAAAAGCCCCCAGTCCAGGGAGCTCAGTGACTGAAACCCTAGATCTAGAGACTGACACTTAAGACTGCCTTTGCCATAGATGTATTAATCTAATACGTTGTAGAGTCCTATGAGATGTTGCTTTTAATATAAACTTATTTTCCAAATAATTTAGAGAATTACAGATTCAAGTAATTCTTCAAAGGCTTGCTTTAAGTTATCTTAACAAAACGCAGCTTTCAAGAGTTGACATAAAAGAAGACATTAGTGTGACTGAGAGTATAGAGCACTAGTAACAGCAAATGAACTCATATAGTTTAACAGTTCTAGTATTGTACTTAAAATTACACAGATCTCTTAACATAACCTACAATGTTTACCATGAATATTAACATCACATATGCATTACAATGTGTTAGGGATTGTTTTCTAGATCAGAATGTCATTGGTCCCAGGTGTTGTAAAATAACAGGACTAAGGCAGCAGCTGTAATACATAAATGATTCTTTAAGAAATATGCTTAAATGCTATTACTGCTTGGAACTGTGGAAATATAATAAAATACAAGTCACATTTACAGCATAAGGCCCTTTGGTTTCTTAAGCAGCAAATGAATGAACAGGTTCTTCAGTGAAAGGCTTTGAAAAATAAAGCAGGTAGGCTTTCCATAAAAAAGGTAACTAGTTCTTTCCTTCTCAAAATAGCCATCTGTAATCCTCAAAATTTTATGTAAGAAAGGTCTTGAAATTCTTAGGAAAGAAAAAGTTAAGCCCCAACAGTAGGATCTGACAGAGCAAAGATTCCATCATGGGCAAGCTGAACATACACCTTCTGGGAAGTAGAAGAAACTACTATTTGGATTTCTGGAGAGCTTTATTGACTTTAGAGCAATACAGTAAAAAGGATCTGAAATACCTGTGTATTTACCATATATTCTAGAGCTTACAAATCCATATTTGAGAACTCACTTTATGTCAATCTATCCTTCATAACGACTTGAGTTAAAACAAAATTAAATAGTTCATTCTCGTCAAGGCAATTTACGGCAGTCTGCTTTTTCACAAAACCATGTGCAACTTGTACAAGGCAATCCTTTTCCATCTTCTCAATTGAGCCAAAAATAATGGATTAATTCAAGATATTTCTGTGTAACTATATAATGTGTGTTTGGTTACACAGAACTGTTTAGTTACACAGTTGTGGCAGTCAGCATGTGAATTTTACAGAGAACATTCATTTTGTGAGGTTTCATATCTACCATTATTCTTTTTTACACATCAGTTAGAAGCAGTATCCAATAAGCCAAAACACCGAAATATATAATAAATGTGATGAAGTCACCACATGTATTTTAAAATCCTGCTTAAGTGGTACGTTGCTTTTGCTGTGGGGCTTGTAACAAGGATCTGGCATTATAAAAGAGATTGTAAACAAGCATGACCTTTGAAGCAGTGTTCTTACCCTGTCCCAAACTTGTACAAAATTTTAAAACAACTTCTTATGCCTGATGAATCTTGTTGTAGTTTACTACCATATTAATTATAATTATCCTATATAGATAGAAAAGAAGGTCAAAATATGCTCTCTTAGCCTCTTTCAGAGTTATTGTTTAGAGCTCTTTCTACATAACATGGCTATTGAACTTTTTGGGCCAGCATAAGAATTTCCTTTTTTCAAACTGTCATATGGCAAAATGACAGTTTGTGCCAAATTCAGGCAACACGAATAATTGTGGAGGGTTGCATTCACTAGAATCATTATACCCTAAGCATTTTTGGTGAGCCTAAGAAACAAAATTTTGTATGAAACTTCATAGGAGTTGATTGAGTACACCTCTGAACAATTCTGATATACTTCTTTTTCAGTTGTATATATACATCCTACATTCATCATTCTCATTTTCGGTAAAGAGACAGGAAATCTTTAGCATGTAAGATTACTTTGCACTTGCACAATTCCACTGCAGTACAGCTGAATGCAACATCAGCCTTTTTTCCAGTGCAGAAGTCTTTGCTGGGCTGAAAGTTTCCCCGAATCGTGCTTTTACTAATCAAAAAAAGATGTTAATCAGCTTACCCATGATCCAAATTTCATCAGTCTTTGAAAGAAGAAAACAAAACATTTTATCCGAAAAGATCTTTTAAGTCATTACTAGCTGAGCTGCTGTTTGTCATTGTGTTTGCTGGCTGTGCAAAGTTCTGAGGAGAAAAGAAAGGATTACCCTGTATACCGAAGCCAGGCTGTCCCATCACGTTCATCTGAGGTCCCAAGACTGAACTGCTTGCATTCGGGGACCCTGGTGGTGGTACAAACTGATTAACCCACTGGCTTGATTTCTGTTGAGCCAACTGTTTCATGCTAACTTTGGGTTTTTGAGGACCAAAAAGATTATCTAAAGCAGACATATCTGGGGGTCTGTTTTGTTGTGTCAGTGGAGAGACTGCAGATGCAGCATTCATAGGACTGTAATTTGGCATACTGGCAGTTGGTACAATGTTCATCTTGGTTGCTCCTGTTGCACTTGGACCACTGAAGAAATTCGGAGTGGCGAGACCTGCTCCCATAGTGAATCCAGCAGTCTGAAAACCCATATTTGTATTTAGTCCATTTGTCATATTTCGCTTTGTGTTGTCAACAGGTGATGAAAATCCCATTCCAACACCCATAGAAGGAACAGAAGAGAAGTTGTTTGCAGATGCAAGTTGAGCTTTGTTGATAGGATGGCTAGTCAAAGATGACATATTATCTATCAAGGTATCTGTCAAGTCTTTTGTCTGCAAAATACATAAAATGCAGTTAAACGGTCTTCCTGTACGACACTTGTCTTGCAACACTTTTAGCATTGCTCCTGTAGAACTGGCATTAATTTTTCAGAAATTAGAATTTACTGCATGGAATTGGGCAGAAAACGTAATTATACACAAGAGAAATTAGTTTTTTTTCTTTGCTACTTAGAACTAATTGTTATGCAGCTTTAATTTGACAACTAAGACTACACACAAAGTACTACTGTGACTATCTGCTTTCATGCCCCATTTGTATCCCCAATTCCTTTACATATTTACTTAATAAACTCTTCAGAGCAAAACCATTTTAATATGTCCTTTTTCCTTATCTAGAACAATGGCCTTCTGATAATAATGATACTCTTGGAAACTCTTGGAATATTGCTAATGAAGCAAACGCCAGACACACAAAAATTTAATTTAGTTTTTCTCAGCTGTGCCATTGTACTACCAGAGAAAACAGAAGTGAGTCAGAGAAGGAAAAAATGCTAAAAGCATCAAAGATCCAATGGAAGCAGTGCAGTAGTTTGTTCCTTCTCACCTGCTTCACTGGAGGTGTTATTGCAGTTGCTTGTGGCTTAAGAGGTTGCTGGCTTTTCAGTTTCTGTGCCTGTTCTTGTTCTTTAGCTAACTTCTGCTTCTCTTCCAGTGTAAGCGATGCCTTTAAAATGAAAGGTACTAAGTTGCAAGAAATGGTGATTTGTACATTCATATTTGTATTTCATAAATAGCACTGTCATTTCAATACATGGTAGAAAAATACAATTATTTAAAAACAAAAGACATAAAAGAGAAAGTGAATAAGCACAAAATCTATTATAATATTTACCATGTTACTAAAAAGTACTTAAAGCAAATAAATACAAGAAATTTGGGCAGTCTCAAATAAAAGAGATATATCAACAAAACCACTTTAGCTTTGTCTTCTTAATATTGGGTATAAGAAAAAGTGTTCTTCATAGTTTTTGTTTTCATATGGTTACTAACTTGATATAGAGCTGCAATTGACCATGAAGTTGGAAAGGGAATTTTATTTTAAGATTGCTCAAGAGCCTTTTCAGGATTTTAACTCTACTTTTCATTATTTTATCCTTCATTATTAACAAATCATTCCCCCTTAATCTAAAATTAGTGAGAGGATTCAGATAACTATAAATTAAAATTATAAAATATATAGATTTTGGGAAGCCATTTCCATAATTATTAGTATGAAAAGAATTTTATGCTCATGTTTACTATTCTATCTCATGTCATGTTTTTCTCTGCGTCTTGTATTTAACCCCATACTGACTGTTTATTTTCACTTAAATTTGAACTCTACGGTGAATGTTAATCTCTCCTACTACATGAAGTTCTACATTTTATCTTCATTTCTCTTTATAATTTTATCAGAAAGGTCCCTAGCTTGTTTTCCTACCTAAATCCAGTGCTGAAGCTTCATTGAAATCTATAATTAAGGAGAAAGAAAATGACCACAGATTTATAATCCTAACTGCTGCCTACTTTGTATACAGCTATTTTCAAGGAAAGGCTTCTATGGAAATTCAAGGATATGATTTGAACATTTTTCAATGGACCTGCACATGTGACTATGTATGTGGCATACAAAAGCAGTTAGTTTTTCTATTAAAGCTTTAAAAAAGGTAAATATTTACACGCAATCTTTTACACAACCATATCAGCCTTATATTAGACAGCAGGACATAACCGAATTGCAAAACAAACTAAAGCCCACCTTCTTCTGTATTGATGACATCTCATTCTCTTTACTATCAGATCCACTAGTTAGAAGGTCAGTTCCACTACTATTAAATACTTTGTCAATCTGCTTAAGTTCAAAGAAACAAAACTTCATTATTTGAAATGTTGCAAATAAAGGTAACAGAAATATCAACTAAGTAATTTTAAATTTCAAATTTCTATGTGTAAGTTACATAATAAAACATTGCTTACCTGATTGCTTGTACCACTAGATCTTGCCTCTTCAGACACACTCATTTGGTTAGCTATATCCAAAGATCTACATAGTGTAGAGTATATTACAAAAAGATAACTTTGTAGCCACATCCATCACTAATACCAAAAAATTTCATTATGAGACCACTGCCATTTTTATATAATGCCTTTAACAGACTGGGAAATGTTACTATGATAAATAGTAAAGGTCTCCTAACCATTTCACGTGGTCTTAGTTCCTCCTTTTGAACAGAATGACCCAGACTTGAGATAGTCCAAGTTGTTTCAGAAATCTCACCTCATATCAGACTCCATAAAATAGCTCTAAGTATCTTAAAATATCACAGCCTTCTAAAATGCTGCAATGTTTATGTTTCTCCAGCAACTAGAGGAAAGCAAGTTAGCATATAGAAGCAAAGCATCAAACAATACTAAAAGAGCTCAATATGAACTTTCAAATTTAATGAATTAAAAATTATTGACTTAAAATAATAAACTGTACCTGAACTGTATAGAGGGATTTTTTTCTATAAATCCACTAATATCACAATATTATCATCATTTTAGGACTAGTAAATCTTCTGACAACTGTGCTTATTTGAGGTAATTCTCAACTACTGAACTAAGAATTGCCTAATCTTTTTATTGCTATGGCTAGAGTTTTCTAACATTTGCCAAAAAAACTGACTACTTCTCTAATGTAAACATAAACACTTACTTCTGTTGCTCTTGCATGACATGAAGTTGCTCCAGTTTTGTTTTATGTTCTGCCTCCAATCTGTTAAGCATATCTTTTATAACACAAATAAAAGAATTGAACTGGAAAAGAAATATATAAGAAGTTTGGATTTTGGAGAGATGGAATTCAGACAAATATAACTTAACAGGTAATACCTCATAAAACCTACAATATATAATGTCAGATAAGCTGTAGATTTTAAAATAATTTATCACCTTCACTATCATGCATTAGATACAAAACTATAAGCAGAGTGCATACTGGAACAGGGAAAAATACATTCCACTAAATAAAAAAAAAAGGGACAATGCAGACAAAACCCCTCACATATTAGTATTACCAGATTAATTTTCAAACAAGCAAACAAACCTACTAGGTATTCCCTTTCCAAATATTTCATAGCAACATAGTATTTAATTTGAATTCTTATTATGTTAGTAGCTAACTGCTTTTGCAGGATATTTGGAAGGTGATAGCATTAATTTTGAAATTTTATACCAGATCAGTTAAATACACTGAAAAACAACATGCAAATGCAGTAAAACTTGAAAGGGTTTTGGTACTGTTTGTTTTTACAACAGATACAGACATCCAGTAAAGTATGAATTTCTCATGACAACAGTTTAAATTTATTCTTTGATAATTATGAAGTAAAAGCATGCAAAAGAGTCATGTTCCTACCTGATTGAGATTAAGATTGTTCTCGATACTAAGAGGAATCAGATGGGGCAATACTTTTCCTGCAAGCTGTTCTTTGGTAATTCCCAACTTCTTGTGAGTAAATGTACATTTGTAAATACCTAACATACAACAGCAAAATAGCAAAAATTGTTAAGCTTTGTAAGCAATGTGAACAAACTCCAAGTAACACGCTCATGTATGTAGTGATCATCTGAATGATCACTCTGCGTAAGCAGGGACAAGCATGACCAAGAGAATCATAAAAACTAAGTACTCCTTCACAACAGAAATTTATAACAGCAAGAGGCTTTGTTACAGTTCAGAACAAGAGGATGTCCAAAGTCATACTTAGCAGTTATGAAACCTGTTATTAGTCAAGGTATTAGTCAAGGTATCAGTGTTAAGCCCACAAGTTCTATAGTGTTTCTGACAGGAAGAGTCCTCTGCTTAAATAGTCCAGCTCTTGTGGCAAATGCTGAACATATTAGCATAAAAGACACAGCAGCTTTCTTCACTTTCTGTGGTAGTAGAACAGAGCTGTCACCAAGACAAAGAAGGTATCACATACAAGGAAGACAGTATTATGATTTTGGAGAAAAGGACTGCCTGAGTATATAAAATTGATTTCAGTCCACCATTTCCAAACAAGGGTTCACTTATTCATTGTATCAGAGTAGAATTCAGCAGTAACACAACTAAAGTAAAACTAAAGTAAAAACTAAAGTAAAAACCATAGTGTCCCTCTTCTTAGACAGCAAATGTAAGTCAAACCTGCAAGGATTAAGGGAAACAGGCAGTTCTAAATCAGTACAGATAGTACAGTTCTAAAACAGTACAGCTTTCTTACTGATTTTGAGCAAATCAAAATAATGCTGCTATCACATATTATTTCAGTGTATAATGAAGGCTGTTGCTGATACATCTCAACTGTTACAAATGGTCTTACTGACAACACTTCTTTGTCAGTAAGAGAAATGGTCACTGTCCTCCAAACTTGGCCATGCGGTTACACCTCTTTCTTGGCTGTCTCTCTGGTCATCTGGTCTCCTTGAGTGCATTGAAATGGTTAAAATCACCCACCCTGAGCTAGGCAAGCACCAAGTGACACTAGAAAAGCACAACTGGGAGCGAGGTCTCCCCTTCCAGAAGTAACAAGCCATTAGGTTTTGTTAGTCATTTTATGAGACTTCACCCAGCTCATGTTCAATTTCGGTGCAAAAGGCAGCACTGTTTGTTTAAACATCCAACAAAATGAGTCTAACAAAACCTGCATTAAACAACAGCAGATTTGTAGACAATCATTCATAGCATCTGACATGAAAGAGTATCTGAAAGAAGACAGATCATACATTCTTCTGAGGAAAACAGCTTCTCTGGCTCTGTGGAGCATACAGTCCATAAAGTGTCACAGCCCAAGAACTGCAATGAGTACTCAGAACTGCACTGGGCCCTGAAGACTAAAAATACGTGTACTAGTGTCAGATGTACCTGCAGTACTTAAGGTAACTGAACAGGGACATACTTAAGAACCAGAAACAGGAAGTTTTAAATAGTCATTTTAGAAATACACTATGTAAACATGATCAATTATGAAGACGCTCTCAGATTTACAACATGAAAGAACATAAGACGAGAAAGTGGGAAGTATTAATTACCTAGAATTCCCATGAGCACTGCAGGTTCCTTTGATGGAATTTGTTGTAGAAAAGGTAAAATATCATCAAGCACAAACCATTTATCCAAGTACTCCAAAATCTTGCCTAAGCACACTAGTGAGTTTACCCGGACCTGTGAAGTATGATAAGAATTAAACAAACTCTTGATTATATTTTTGTCCAAGAAAAAAAAAAACAACCTTACAAAACCCAGAAGAAAACAGGTGCTACTGAAACTACAACCTTTGTATATGAAAATTCAAGACAAGTTAAAAAAAATCCTTTTGTGTCATGAAAGTAAAACATATAGTTACATAATGCTCACAAAATCTTGGCTTTTCTGCATGACAAACACTGTCAGTGTATATTATTGTGGAGTACACTTCAAAAATTTTTCACAGTATTATTAACACAATAAGTTAACAACTTTAAAAACTGTTAAAGAAGTAAATGGCACTTTTGCATTGGTAAAAAGTATTTTACAAAATTTAAAAAAAGAAATCAGAGCACACTGATTGGATTTTCTTTAAAGACTCAACAGCAGAAAAGCCAAAGTAATTAAAGGTAACAACATTTTCTGAGGACTCAGAGATAAAATTACCAGGATACTCACAGCAAGAGAAGAAGTCTGCAAACATGCATTTTTAATTCTTGGAATTAATGAATTTTTCATTGATGGGTAATCTATTAAATTGGCAAATGTGGGAATTATGTTTAGGCAAAGCTCCTACAAAAAAAATTCCATAAAAGTTTAAAAAGAAACATGTACATTTATCATAAAATTAGTACTAATTTTACTCAATATCAAAGTTAGTTTGAAATGCCTTCTTAAGCTTTCCTTTTAAGGAAATATGTTCAACTAAGCTGACCTTAATCTATCAGACTCACTTAAAAATAGCTAGAATAATAAAGCATCATGGTATGTATACAGAACCTTGGAAACAGTCTTTAGAAAAGATAGCATTCATAAAGTCATAATAAAATATTTGGATAGCAAGAATATCTTGTATTTTCATGAAACAACTTTACATAAAAAACAGCTTTTATTACATCAAGTTAATATAAAGCAAGCAAATTTGAATAAGTACTATCGACAGCAGTACAATGACAGGGTGAAAGATAAAAGAGCATTGAACATACTTTAGCAACAGAGAAAAAATAAACAGCCCAAAGCAAAAAACAAGAGACAGTAATATTAAGTAGGTTGCAAGTAAATACCTGAGTAACTAAACTACTGATGCAGAAAAAACTCATGCCAGGTACTTAGAAACAAAAAACCTTTCTCCATAATATTGCAAAGGCTTTGCAAAGGCAGAAGTCACATCTGATTATCCAAATCGTTTTTTAGGAAATATTTTGTTTCTTTATCTCCCCCTCCCACTCCTGAATGTTTTTGGGTAACTGGAAGTTAATTCCAGTAGAATGATTAGAAAAAAAACCAAACAGACAAACTTTAGAAAGGTAGAGAAAGAACAAAGAGAAAAATTAAAATACAGATAGATAAAAATGTCACCAGAAAGTATATTAATATGATTTTACAGCAAATCAGGTCTTCCAAGGTAACTGTCAGCACAGATGTTCTTACCAGAAGGACCTCAGAATAAGCCAGCTCTCACTGACAGGTAAGAGCATGCATGCCTGCAGAGTTTCTGCTGCACAGGCAATGGAGTATAAATGCGTATCCTACTTTTTGCTATGGTGGCTAGTAAGATTTTAAGATAGGAGCATTAGAACACCAGTCAAGTGGTTACCCCCTGGAAAATAAGGGAACTAAATTTTATTTCATTAAAACCAAATTTTCTTTAATAAAACGCTCATCTCTTTCAACGTTCAGGAATATTACACAGCTTTATCTTTTTTTTCTTTTTTTTTTCCCAAGTGAACAAACACATGAGTATACAAAAAGTTGGCACATCAGCTGAAAGAAAAGAGAAAAAAATGTTTTAAATAAATGCTGCAATTACCATACCTGGATCTGAATTGAAGGTGCTTCCAAAGCTCTATAAACCATTGGTAGAACGCTGTTCTTTATTTCATCTGGTGGAGTTTTGGTTAGAAGTAAGTCCATTTTTTGCAGGAAGATTAACAATATCTATTAAAAGAAGGACAATTCAGAAGCCAAAAGTTTTAACTCCAGAAGCATATATTTACAACTTGAAGTGTATTGTATCATATCATAAAAACTTCACAAGTTTTCTTAGAACTCAGTAAATGTAATCACTTACCATGTTGCTTGCCTGAAGGCATGGAAGACAAAAAACACTTTGACATATTATTGCATTTTAAAAAGAGCAAATACAAATCAAACAAAATATACCTCTCTAAAATAACAAATTCAAATAGCTAAGTAAGGAGTTCTTGTTTCCATTTACACCATGGTCTTTTGCTAAAATTCACCCACAGAAAAATCTTTATACATACATCACTATTGAAAAAGCTAAACTTTCAAAAACCTATGGCTCAAATTCTGTCCTCAAAGCACTTGATTACAACTCCACATACAAAAGCTGTATTCCACGTGCCTAGAATAAATAGGGATGTAATGAAAACAATATTACAGCTACTAGGTGGCCACAAAATGTCTTTATTCTATTTCACATGGAAATTGTATATCATAAAATAAAAAATCTCAAACAAAAAACCCTCACATCACATTAACCTAAAAAATAACACTAGAATAGCACATATACATAGTGCGATTCACCTTGCTCAGGCTTAGCCATTTAAAAATTAGCCACTATTCTGAGTCACTCATCCAGGTTCAGTCTCAAATACAGAGTGTCTCTAATACATAAGGTTCATATCTCAGCTCAGACAGGCAAGACAACTTGCTAGAGGTGACACTGAGTATCCATCGATATATGGACCCATTTTAGAAAATAGGTTAGACTAGATGGATAAATTATGTTGAATGTAAACATATTAATAACAAAATGCCAAGTATTTTATAGAAGGAAATTAGACTTAACTTTTAAGTCTAAAAATACACAGCAATCAGTGCCTACATGTCAAACAAACAGAAGCGTCAAAATGTAGAAACAGAAGTATATCAAGACCAAATTACAAATTTCCCCCATTTATTTGCCTTCCTTTACAGGGAAGAAAAATAGATTTTTAAACTGCAGCTAATATATGTTTTCTCATTGTATATTTATAATTTTCTAAACTGCACACACAATCACTCATTCATTCCATGAAAATTGCTTCTGATGCAATATCCTCATATTTGGGACAAAGAGGGTAAGATGGACGAGATCAGGTTTAAAGTTAGATTTTATAATTTTCTTCAATGTAGAATTTTTGTTTGTCCTGAACTTGGCTTTTTGAAACCTACATGTGCTCATAACACATTCTTCTCTAAAAACTCTGTAATACTGTGGAATTACAGTTTCTGTGTTAGTTACATCTATAGCTTTGGAGAAATATCATTCGATTGTTTCTGCAAATTTGAAAAGAATGTGAATGAAACTTCTTATTTAACAACTAGTAAATCTCCTCTAAAATAACAACCAAGTACTGTACAGTAATTTAGACTTCACAGAAGCAGTTCGGCTCTTTTCCACTGCCTGTCAATGCTTTTCATCTAAGATAAAGCTGAATCATTTCTATCTCTCTCTACCTGTGTTTAACTAGAATGTAGTTCATGTTGTTCCAAAGAACATCTTTTATTTTTAGCTTCTATGGTTATATTAATTACTTTTTATCTATTTAGGTAGAAACTAAGATGCTACAGTCACAGATTCACACACATCATCTAACAAGCAAGTAGTAGCAGTTGCACTCTAAACAATAATGCATCTTTCATTAGTGCAGAGCCCAGTACTTCTCAGGGTGCACTGTGGTGGACTGAATTAGAATATGGATTTACAGCACATCCCCTGCTAACTCTCCATGGATTCCTGTAAATATAAATTAAGGGTTTGTCTGGGCAGCTATGCCAGAGTAAGCTACTATGTTAATTTACAGCACATGTTACTCCACACTAACCCCAAGAGTATGATATAAATGAGCAGTTTAACTAAATATTTAATTTTCATATTATAAATTTCCTCATGCAAAGACATTGTGAACACTAATAATTTCTTCATACTGAATTACAGTAGCTTCCCTATGATATGTTTATTTCCTAACCCAAGTATCCCATGAAAGTCAAGCAACAGGTCCCTCACACAAATCTACACGTCAAGACAGCATCTGGAAGAAGCACTGGCACATTCCCTATCTGCCCCTCTCTAGGAGCAAACACACACAAACTTTTTTGCCTTGCACAAAGATAGTCAGACCTAGAATTCTATCCTCTAGCATTCTAACCTTGCATTTTTTTCTCAAATTCCTGGTAAATTAATTTTGAAAACATGACCTAGATTACTTAAAGAAACTTTACCATATTAAAAAGACCACAGAAATAATAGTTGAATAAGCCATGTAGTACTTCGCATTGAAAATATCAATGTAAGAATTTAATACATAGTATCTAGACAGCTACAGAAAAACTTGGCAAAGCTCACTCTTTATGAGTTTGTATTTATGAGTTTGTATTTTGCTTCCCTCATTTCTCAAGACATAAACCAGCTTTTGTGTCCATTATGCTCCTGATAAAACTTTTTGCAGTGAGGATCTTTCTCACAAATATAATGTTAGGCATAGATTCTCACAAATCTAAGGAAGGTAGCAAAACACAGTGTTACCTTTTAGGATGACACAGCACAAATGAGATGTTCACTGACTTTTGGTTGGTTAAATGTTTACTTTTTTCAAGACAACAACAAAGCTAACATAAAGCCTCAGTGTACCAAAAGTAAACAGCATTAAGCAGTTCAAATTTTCCAAGGTATTCTCAGTTACACAGTTGTTCCCTTTCTCCCCCTCCTCAGTATAATGAGAATTCTTTGGTCCAGTTTTCTGAAACCCAGAAATAAAAAGTCTACTTGTTCATTTCTATGTTTACCCTGCCCTTTAGGTGCTCTGCCAAGAAATAATGGCATAAAGCAATAAACCAAGGTGAGCTGGAAGGAATGCATACATGCCTTTCATCTGTGGAGGCACAATGCCTAACTTAGTGACAGAATTCTCAGGAATCATCAGGCACATGGTGATGATAAAAGGTTGTAAATCTTTGCTCCTTTACAGTAACAATGGTGTCTTACTACTTTTATGCATTTAAACTACAGTGAAAAGAGCATAAATATCTTACATATCACATTCGACATACAGAATTAAACAAATTTCACAAATTTGTGCACAACCCTCAAATAAACACTGTTCTTATTATCATGGATAAACAGCAATTCTAAGAGAGTGTTAGAGTCACAAGTTTTTCACCCCATGATCCCAATGTCAGCAATCTGGACACACACACAAAAAAAAAATCATAGGTACAACTTGCTCAGATTGGCTAGATAAGTGATAAAATGCTTACAAATATACCTTCTACAATCAACCAAAACCAAGAATTGAGTGGTACATTAAATGTTTCCTTTTCTGCTTCTCTAATCTCATTAACAAATATACCCTCAAAAAATTAATCTGAAAAAGCAGAGGCTTTGTGTATTTCCTGGAAAAATCTATTTTGCACAAATCAAGACTGACTGCTTGGACAACTATAGACAGGTTGGGCAATATGTGTGAAGCTGGAAAAGGCAAATAGAACAATTAGTCATTTTTCAGAGGAAAAAAACACCAAAGGGAAAAATTGTAATCTGAACAATATTAACATACCTGGATTGGTTCTTGCTGCTTAAAAACAGGACCAAGATCAGGCAGTATGAGCCTGATATATTCCTCTTTGGTACATTCCTCAGCAATTAAGAGAACGTTAGGCAAGACGAAGGGTACCATATCAGGATTCACAAATTCAGAAGTCAAGCAAGGCAAAATTCGCTGAATTATAACACGCTAAAAGAAAAAAAAAATACAACAAAAAAACAAGTATGCATCATGTTGTACTGCACTGCAGTAAGTCACCACTGTGCCAGCTCAGCAGCTTCCGTATTAACCCGATATGTACAAAAAAGCAGACAGACAATTTTCAGTTTTGAAGTCTTATTTTCACAGTATACTGCAGCTAATTTACACCGTGCTACTTTGGTTACTTTTCTGTTAGCACTCAAAACATAACTGGAGACTTTAACAACTGTGAAGCTCAACAAACTGTACAACCAACTGTACAACCAACTGTACAACCAACTGT